GGAAAAGAAGACTTCAATTTGATTGGTCCATGAATTTCCACTTATTTATCTCTTTAATAATTATTAAAAAAATAAATATTTATTTTACTCTCCAAGAAAATGACATGTGCCATTCTTTAATTGGCCTTCAAAATATACATGTGGCATTCTTTAATTGGCCAACAGTGTATATTAAATAATCAATTAATTAACTATTTAATTTAGGAATTAAATTTGATTAATTTCCCAAATAGAATAGAAAATTATTAAATTGATTTTGACATGAAATTTGACATTTGTCGCCATTTTATTGGCTCAAAATTTATTTGTCTACAGAGTGCCTGGAATTACAATTCGTAGACAGTGATGCATCGAAATTGTTGATCGAGCCCAACCAAGTGTCTAAATGCTTATTGTTATCATCAAACCTAACGAGTATTGAAATACATGAATTCAGGTGTACCAAGGGAGAGCTTGAGCAAGTATGGTATCTTTTGAGCAATGCTAAATGCCTCAAGAGGATGGAAATATATTGTTCCAAACAGTGCCTGACGGCGGTGATGCCCTAAACATAATTTCATCTTTTCATCGAGTATCTCAAGTGTGCCCCAGCTTGTCCTCCATTGACCTTTTGTCCTCCATTGACCTTTTGAGTGGCTTCTGATGATGTTCAAAGAAACATCTAGTGCAGACCTTTGTTGAGCAAAATTTACTCCTTTTTTTTCTTCCTTTTTTTTGTGTGTGTGGGTGTTAAGTATAACAACAAGATTTGACTCCGCGAAGAAAGAGACAAGATTTCACATTGGACTCAAATTGAAAGCATTAAGCATAACAGAGGGAAACAACAAGACATATAAGATGTTATATTGGACATGAGAAAATAAAAGCATCACAGAGAAAAAAAAAATACTCATTTGCTTTACCCGCGTAAACAATTATGCATGAGTGAAGCTTGAGAACTGTAACTTTCCTCATTAAGCTCCTTAGAAATTAAAATACACGAAATGTAAGGACGAGTTATAAAATTGTGAATTTTAACGCCTCATGAACAACGATATCTTTATAGGCAAATGCAATACAAACTAACAACAAATCCAACACCAATTACCTTTCAAATATTGCAGATATGTTTTCAAACCAATATATGAAGAGATCTCTCTTAACACAAGTTGAATACTTGAAGATAAGACAACAAAATGCGGCATTTTCCAGAATAGCTAACAATGGTAAGTCGTTCTCATATATATTTGTACATAGTGTTTGTAAAATCACTAAATCGAAGAACAATCAAAACAGAGAATTTGGGATTTTCTCAGATCATTTTCATATCATCAAAAATCAAAATGAGAACAACGTACAGCAGCACTATATATCCATGCAACACGACAAAAGAGGAAGACGACCTAAACGGCGTCGTACAACTTAAGTGAGACGACGCCGTATGCAGAGAAAAGACAACAGATCCAAACGGCCTAAAACGGTGCCGTTTTAACTAAAAGAAAATAAAGATAAAAAACAAAAGAAAATGAGAGAAACGTTTCAGCGACTTTAGACAACTCCATGCACAGCTCCATGCACAATTTCCATCACAGCAGGAGTCACAAGAACAACAAATCCAACACCCGCCCCTCAAGGTGGGCCATGGTGCCTGCAACATGCCCAACTTGGACACAAGAGTAGCAAAACGATTCCCAGCTATGACCTTAGTGAATAAATCAGCAATCTGGTGCAGAGAAGCCACATAAAGAGGAGTGATGAACCCTTGCTTGTACTTGTCTCTGACAACATGGCAATCTATTGCATGATGGTTGGTTCTTTCATGAAACACAGGATTAGCTGTTATGTGCATAGCAGCATGATTGTCACACCACAAAGGGATAGGAAAGACCAAGGGAACATGAAATTCTTGAGCAAGGAAGTGCAACCACATGAGTTTAGAAACTATAGACCCCATGGCCCTGTACTCAGCCTCTGCAGATGACTTGGATACAGTATGTTGCTTTTTGCTTTTCCAGGAAATAAGAGAGTCCCCAAGGAAGATGCAAAACCCAGTGACTGACCTTCTAGTGTCTTTACAGGTGGCCCAATCAGCATCACAATAAGCCACAAGTGTGAAGGAAGATGTGCTGTTGGGATAAAACAATCCCAAAGAGGTTGAGCCTTTCAAATATCTGAGTATATGAAGAGCTGCTTTCCAATGACTATCATGTGGGTTGTTCACAAATTGGCGGAGCTGTTGTACTGCATAAGTGACATCAGGTCTAGTGAGCCCAAGGTATAGCAACCTTCCAATTAGTCTTCTATAAGTGTCAGGCTGTTCTAGGATAATTCCACTGTGTGCAGCCAAGTGAATGCCAAGGGGCAATGGAGTAGGGGTTGATGTACAAGTCAGCATGTTGAGATCACCAAGGATATCTAAGATGTATTTCCTTTGACACAGCAAGACCCCTTTGTCAGAATAACTGAACTCAATTCCCAAAAAGAACTTAGCAGCCCCTAGGTCTTTGATTGTAAACTGATTGTCTAGAAAGACCTTCAAATGTTGTATGAGCAAAGAGGATGAACTAGTGACCAGGACATCATCCACATAAACTAGCAAAGCCAGAAAATCATCACCTTTGGTTAGTGTAAATAGACAGTGATCATATGAAGATTGGAGAAGACCAAAATTTGATAGCTTTCTGCAGAGTTCAAGGTTCCATTCCCTTGAGGCTTGTTTGAGCCCATAGAGGCTCTTGACCAACTTGCAAACTTGACCTGCTTTGGCCTTATCATACCCTTGAGGTGGCTGCATAAAGACTTATTCAGTCAATGTCCCATGAAGAAAAGCATTATTCACATCCAATTGATGTAGTTCCCAGCCTCTATGAATTGCCATTGCTATGAAAAATCTCACTGTGACCAACCTTGCCACTGGTGAGAAAATATCAAAGTAATTAACTCCTTCAATCTGGTTATATCCTTTGGCAACTAACCTGGCCTTAAACCTTTCAATTGATCCATCAGCCTTCCTTTTTATTTTATATACCCATTTGCAACCAATTGTCTTCTTGCCTTGTGGTAAGTCTGTCAGCTCCCAAGTATGGTTATCTTCAAGAGCATCTAACTCCTTTTGCATGGCTTCCACCCAAGAAGGATGTAAAGCAGCCTGCTTATAGTGTGATGGTTCCTTTTCAGTGTAGATGTTGGCAATGAACTCTTTATGTGTCAATGAATCAAGAGTGTGGCATTGTGCTGAGTGCTCTTCTAGAACATAATCATTGTGCCACTGAGGTGCAGTTCTTACTCTGTGGCTTCTTCTTATGCAACCATCATTTGTTACCTCTTCTGGTGTGTGCACAATCTCTTCAGTTGTTGGCCTTCCTTCCTCAGACTCTCTAGCTGGTTGAGGCAGCACCATGTCTTCTTTAGATTCAGTGACATAAGGGAAAATATCTTCAAAAAATACCACATCCCTGGCAATGAAGCACTCACCAGTGTCAACATCATACAGCTGATAACCTTTATTTCCAGTGGCATTTCCCAAGTAAATACATTTGCTGCCTCTTGGTGCATACTTTGACTTTAGTGGATGAATTTTTGCTGCATAGGACAAGCAGCCAAAAGGTTTTAATTTTGTATAGTCTGGCTCCTTATTATACACCTTCTCAAAAGGAGTCTTCCAATTTAGAACAACACTAGGTAGCCTGTTTATGATGTAGGCTGCTGCTAGAATGGAGTATGGCCAAAATTTTAGAGGCAGCTGTCCTTGAAATATTAAAGCCCTTCCAATTTCAAGTAATTGCCTGTGCTTCCTTTCCACTACACCATTTTGTTGTGGTGTGTAAGGACAACTTGTTTCATGAACTATTCCCTTTTGTCTAAAAAAGCTTTGCAACTCTTTACTCAGAAATTCTTGTCCATTGTCTGATCTCACCTTCTTGACTGTTGTTTCAAATTGTGTCTCTATCATTAAGATGAAATCACTTAGATATTTTGCAGCTTGTGATTTATGGGCCATCAGAAAAACCCAGACTGCCCTGCTGAAATCATCTACCACTGTCAAGAAGAAGAGTGTGGCTGTGAGTGATTCTTCCTTACAAGGTCCCCAGATATCCACATGAAATGTCTCAAAGCACCTCTTTGCATGAATATAACTGTTTTGAAAGGGCAATCTGTGTTGCTTTGCTTTAAAACAGACTTCACATGACTGAATTTCTTTGCTTGCTGAATCTGTGAATTTTCCTTTAAGGAATGAGAAATGCTGCATTGTACTGTAACTAGCATGTCCTAGGCACTTGTGCCACATACCTAAAGAGAAATTGCATCCAAGAGCAGTATCTCTACACTTCACCATATCAGTGCCTTCAAGTACATACAAATTGCCCTTTGAAATCCCCTTACCAATCACAGCTCCACTTTCTGAGTGTTGTAAGATGCATGCAGTGGAGGAGAAGGGACATTTTACCCTTTCATCAACACAAAGCTGACTCACTGAAAGAAAGTTATATTTGAACCCTGGGACAAACAAAACATTCCTCAACCTGAGAGTGTTAGTCACTGCAACTGTACCCTCAGTATCTACTTTCTTGTGTGAACCATCTGGTAGGCATATTGAAATAGGCTCCTTTAACAGCAGGATGTTGCTCATGATGTTAAAATCACCACACATGTGCCTGCTGGCTCCAGTGTCTATAATCCATGCACCACCATTCAGGTCTTCAGCTATGGTCAAAGCAAAATGAACTCCATCTTCCTCCCTTTTGTGAGTAAAGCTTGCCATTTGAGCATAATCTACCTGTCCATCCACATTTTCCTTTCCCTTTATATACTGAGTGATCTCTTGCAACTGCTTCACTACAAGTGATAAATCATTGTCTGTTGAATTCTTTCTTTCTGGCATTTGCCCTCCCCATTGTCCTTCATCCTCATAGACCTCAACATTGTCAGCATAGGATTTAGGTTGCTGCTCCTTCAGTTCCTTATACCACTCTGGTACACCATGGATCTTAAAACAAGTAGCTATTGTGTGTCCAGCATACCACATTTGTCACACAGTAGCTTTGCTTTTTCTTCTTTACTCAACCTAACACTACCTCTACCCCTTCCTCCTTGCCAGTTACCACCTCTTCCACCATATCCTCTACCCTGTCCTACTTGTCCTCGGCCATAACCTTCATATTTAACATTCATGGCCATATTCTCCATCCTGTCAAGGCTGTTTGTGACAGATCTTTGCCTTTCAGCAGAAAGCACCATTGAGTATGCCTTGTTAACACTTGGCAGTGGATCAAACAACAATATCTGATTCTTCAAATGATCATAGCTATCATTTAGCCCCATAAGAAACTGAATTAGCTTAGTTTCAGCTTCATGTCTGACTGCCATTTGACCTTTAGGACAATTACACATCTGAACCAGAACAACACAAGCAAATTCATCCCATAGTTTCTTCAACTTGTTAAAATACTCCATAACTGAGTTATGACCTTGAGTTAAGGTATTTATCTCTCTCTGCAGCTTATATCGCATAGGACCATTGTTCTCTCCATATCGCAGACAGATTTCATCCCAAAGGTCCTTAGATGTTTCAGCGTACACGAAGGACTCAGCAATATCCTTTGACAGTGTATTCAAAATCCATGACAAAATCATCCAATCGACCTTTTTCCACTCATCATAATCATCATCATCAATGTCAGGTTGTACTATATCACCATTAATAAAACCTAATTTTCTCTTAGCTCCCAAAGCTATAGTCATCGATCTTCTCCATGAAAGGAAATTCTTACCAGTCAGCTGGTGTGAGTTTTGTTTAAAGTGTGGGGGAGAATTTTTGTTAATTATGCATTGATTATGTGGTGGAACGGTATTGTCTTGTGTTTTTATTTTCTTAAAAAGAAAGAATATAATA